CTGGAGCTGTGCTCGATGAAACCAAAGATTGTCTGGTCACAAGGTTAGTTATTCAACTGTGTTCTGTGACAAAATGAAAAGTGAGAAATAGATTCTATCACTACTACCTTTGTAAAGGGGGCGATTGCCGACAGAAAAGAAAGCCATGGTTTTATTATTATTGTGTTTTCAATGTTTGCTGCAAAACTGCAGATGGCGGCTTTTGAATTCTCTGATGGAACTGTTGAGGAAATTTAATCCTTCGTTCGGTTTAGCTTGTTTGCATTTACTAATCTATCTATGTATTTCGTAACCTCTTGAAGAACGGAAAAGGTGCGGTGCAATTAAATCGCACCGCAAGAAATCGCAAAACTTTGAGGTAAATTAGTAAAAAGCACATCCGGAAATTTCGATTTTTCTTTTTACCTTCCACAATGGTAGGATAGAATATCGCAAGAGAACTTGTGGGCCTTGGTGTTGTACATTATTCGCTCATTAAAAAAAATTACGAATTTTTTTTCTGCCGTTTATCAAGAATAGTTTCACGAGGCGCACCACAAGCACAGTTGGAAAGCTTTGTTAAAAGAAATAAGATACGTTGAGCAACCGTATAATTTTTAAATGAAAATAAAATTCCACAGAAGGACTCTCGTAACCTGAGAAAAGGTATGAGAACATTTTAAAAGTTCTTGTGTAAACGGATGAAAAGGAAACATTTTCAAGCTAACTTTGGGAACCAACTCAGGTAATTCCCGCGAGTAACATTTGCAAACCCGTTTTCCAGCCTCAAACAGAACAAATTACGTTTTGATAAATGAAAAAGCCATTAGCAAGACACCTGTAACTAAATACATTATCTACATAACCCTGTTTTATAATGAATTCTCGCCTTACTTTTTTTATCCCACCCGAGTTTTTCACGTATTGCATTTTTTAATCGCGATTAGACTTAACATCTGATAAAGCAGGGTTCAGTAATAGAAAAATTTAGAAACAATTCTAATTTTTAGGAGTGTTCATGATGTGATGGCTGGGGAAGTTGATTTAGCGGTAAAGGAAGAATTATTCCACCTGTATGATACCTTTAATTAAGACAAACCCCTCATAACAAAAACATGTCATCTCGACAACTGCAACTTGAGAATTCTTCTACATCTTTCAAGTTTCAATGCCACCTTCGTCATTCTTTGGAAGGTATTTTCAAGGAATAAATATTTAAAGCCTGTCAAAAGTTATGGTGATTCTGCACCTTTTCTTAGTTTTTGTTACAACGCTCGCAGCCTCGCACTTCTCAAATAAAAAAATGACATGTGATGACAACCTTTTTTCTTTTAATTTTTTGTCGACAGGTATTTACACTAGTGAGTAGTGCTATATCTCATTTAAAAGAGGAAAAAATAGGCTTTACAGAAAAAA